GGGTGGCGGGGTGCGTGTACCGATAAAGTGACCTGACCATATGTCAAGGTGAGTGCTGAGTGGCAGGTCAAGTCGCAGGCTTCCTCATCACTACTCCCATACATCAGACACATTATTCCCCTCACCTAAACACTCACTTACTTTGGCCTCAACCTTGCGAATTCTTCTTCCCACTCTAATTACCCTCAACTCCCACTCTCCACTCATTATCTCCCACTTAATTTCCTCTTTTAAGGGACCTCCACTTAGCCCCATCTCTGATATCCTCCCCTAACATCACCCAATATGTATAGATTCTATTACTTGTCCCCGGAAAATTCCCCGTAAGCTGGAATTATTTTACGCACCGTGCCACGGTGCCGATCTCACCGAGGTTTACGTGTTGCTTTTGAACACAAGGGCAGGAGACATGTTCGTTAGTGACATGTTTTCCTCTTACTCTTCTCCCTTACTTTCTTTGCACCATTTCGAAATATTACTCTTCATTACACACAACTCTTACCTCCTAAGACTTCCTCCCTACGTCCTTTATCTCTTCTCACATCAACTCTGAATATCTCTGCCACTTTCTTTCACCTCCTACCAGTTGTTATACCGCCCACCCTTATAATTTTTTAAACTAACTCAGAAAATATTAAGCATTATATTAATTTTTTTAGAATCTATTCTCCTAACCGTCCAAAGCCATTAGCTCATCCTAACTCCTTCATGCTTCGTGGGGGCATCAGTATGGGTGTTGCGGGTCCGTAACCCCACTACCATTTCACCCCTTTCCCCCCACTGACGTATGTGGGGAGCAGCAGTGCGTGAGGGTGCGACTCCCTTACCAATTTTCCCAGTATCCCTAACCCTCCTTATTCTCAACTCTGCCATAATCGTTACAGTTCCTTGTGGAGAGCAACAGTGCGATGGTGTGCGGTCTGAGCGCCTGACCACCAACGGCCGCGCTCTGGAGGCCGGCGGACCCAATGACCTCCAGCCCGGGGTGGTCAAGGCGGCCACCACCGTCTTCGTGGTAGACCCCTCGACCTCAGGTGGGTGGATGCTAGTCGAGGATCATAATTAAAATTAACTCGTAGTGACAACAATGGTAATGACGACATCGTTATAAAACCGATGGCTTTTCTTGCTTGCTGGTTACATTGTCTAAACAATTCCTCGTAGAGATTATGCCAACCATTTAATTTGGTCATTTTAATGGCCAGGCACTTGTAGTTTGTGGTTTTTCGTTGCAACACAAACACAAACGTTGCAACCACAAATTTGTACGACCGCCGTACAAATTTATATATATATTTTATATATGCCTCCCAAAAATTGTTGCACCATCTTAAAGTTGAGCCATGTCCCAGTGAACAAAGTTGAGCCATGTCCCGGTGCACAAAGTTGACCCATGTCCCGGTACATAAAGTAGACCCATGCTCCGGTACATAAAGTTGACCCATGTCCCGGTACATAAAGTTGACCCATGCTCCGGTACATAAAGTTGACCCATGTCCCGGTACATAAAGTTTACCCATCCCCCGGTACATAAAGTTGACCCATGCTCCGGTACATAAAGTATGGTAACGACGACATAGTTATAAAATCCATGGCTTTTCTTGCTTGCTGGTTCCACTGCCCAAGCAATTCCTCATAGAGATTATGCCAACCATATAATTTAGTCATTTTAATGGCCAGGCATATGTAGTTGGTGGTTCTTCGTAGAACTTACGACCGCCGTATAAATTTATATGCCTCTAACCGCGCTCCCGAAAATTGTCCACCATCTTAAAGTTGGGGCCCATGTCTCGGTACATAAAGTTGACCCATGTCCCGGTACATAATATGACCCATGTCCCGGTACATAAAGTTGACCCATGTCCCGGTACAGGCCAGTACCGGGAGTGCAGCTGGTACCCACCGTGGTTGTGGATCCTGGCCATCGCGCTGGCTGTGCTCTTCATCATCATGATGATCATCAACATCTTCTTGTGCTCAGCGATGACGTGCTCCTGCACCAAGACCTCCGTCATCGAGAAGGAACCGTCGATACTTGAGGATTATGACCCATACAGGTCATCATGGCATGGGTCACAGTGCGGGTCAAGGTGAGGGCCGCGTTTCTATTTGTACAATTACGTTTTTGTTTGTAAAAAACAAAAATTATTGCTACATGCTTCATGTTTAGTTCGTCAGAACGAGTTGGGGTTGGTGACAGGGTGGAATTGTACTGTTCAATTTTACTGGTATACTGGTAGATAATGGTATATTGGAGTGGAAAAATATTATGTACATATTGTATTGGGGGGTATTTGTTGTTGGGACGAGGATACTTTCGATGTTTAAATAGCCGAGCAACTTTAAAAGGGCTCTTTCTGATATTCCAGCTCCTTATAGAAAATTCCGCCAAGAATGATCAAGTGGGACTTATCAAAGTGTATTTGTAGCGCTTACCACATTGAACCTACCCAACTATTTTCCTTCACATCTACCCATCAACATGCTACACGCCATCTACTTCATTTTAAACCTACCTATCCGATGCCTCGCCCTACCCCATGCACTCTCTAAATTCATAAATTGTCAACAACCTTCCTTTTCACCCGTACCGCATTCGTAACTATTCACCAACCCCATATCCTACTCCTCAACACCTCCTCAAATAGCGCATAATGAAAAATATTCACACTAGCCAGAAGTTAAATGTGCCAAGTTGATGAAAATCTACAATTTTCCTCATTAATTCTTTTGGGCATTTTCTTGAAGCAACATGTCACTACTTCGCGGGTTTTGTTCATTTCATTGTCAAGGGTACATTGTGTAGATTAGGCATTTCAATGTAAAGCCCACACATGTCTTCCGAATCATATCGATGAGAGATACACTCTTGTAGCCGAGAGGAAAAACGCTGTTCGTTTCGTTAAGATTTCTAGTGGAGTTTGGCAGAATGCTTCCCTGTTAATTCCTTTTAAATTTTCATATCTCTAGGCAAGTTGTGAAACGAATATCTTGTTTTCATTGGCATGCTTTGGCACTCCTTACAGTCTATCCTTCACTTTATTTTAATCTAGTACACTCATCTACTAACCATGACCACCCATCATCATTATCAACCACTATCATTTCATTATCAACCACTGTCTACACTCGTCCACTCCTCAACGCTCTTCTTCCACCTACTTGCTCCACCCATTCCCCAACAACATCCTCTTCCACCCCTCCACACCCCCACCCACTCAGTGCTGGGGTTCACAGGCACTCGCTGAACGGCAGCAGCGGAGATTATCTCTCTGGAGCGTCCACCCTCAAGTCTTCCCCGTCCGACCACTACGCCAGCGTGCCTTCGCGCAAACAGTCCAACGCCTTCCACAACTCTCTTTATGATGGCTAACCCAGCCTCATGAGTTCCACAACTCTCTTTATGACGGCTAACCCAGCCTCATGAGTTCCACAACTCTCTTTATGACGGCTAACCCAGCCTCACAACTTCCACAACTCTCTTTATGACGGCTAACTTAGCCTTACCACTTCCACAACTCTATGACGGGTAACCCAGCCTCACAACTTCCACAACTCTCTTTATGACGGCTAACATAGCCGTACCACTTCCACAACTCTCTTTATGACGGCTAACCCAGCCTCACGATTTCCAAAATTATTTTTTGACTCTTCTTTTTCTCAGTTTTTTTCATTCCCTATCTCCTTCCACTAATAATTAAATCCTGTACCTCCCAAAACTCCTTCTGTCTTACACGACGCCGCCTCCTATGCCGTTCAACCTTTCCACAACATCTTTGCGACGGTTGATCCACATTAATGCCGCTGTGTCTTGAGCAACTGGCAGCTGAACGCGCCGCCTAACTAGCCTCATAACTAGCAGCTTAACAAGCCGCTCAACTACCAGCGCATAACTAACTGCCCTAACTAGCAGCTTAACAAGCCGTCTAACTACCAGCATAACTAGCTGCCCTAACCACCTAAGCTGACTAACGCGCTGACTAATGCTGCCAGGTACTCACTGAACGGCAAGACGGGCTACCAGACGGTTGATCCACATTAATGCCGCTGAGTCTGGAGCAACTAGCAGCTTAACGCGCCGCCTAACTAGCTGCCCTAACTAGCCGCCTAATTAGACCCCAACTAGCCGCATTACTAGCTGCCCTAACTAGCAGCTTAACAAGCCGTTTTAACTACTAGCATAACTAGCTGCCCTAACTAGCAGCTTAACTACCAGCGCATAACTAGCTGCCCAAACTAGCAGCTTAACTACCAGCATAACTAGCTGCCCTAACCACCTAAGCTGACTAACGCGCTGACTAATGCTGCCAGGTACTCACTGAACGGCAAGACGGGCTACCTCTCCGGGGCGTCCACGCTGAACTCAGCGCGCTCTGTGTCGTCCCACAGCGACCACTACGCCGCTATTGTTCACTCTCGCCCCGACTCCCGCTACTCCCGCCCTGACTCCCGCCATCATCACTCCAGTGGTCACAACCACTCCGCCAATGGTCACCATCATCACCACCACAGCAACGGTCATCACACGCACCACAGATCCCCTCCCTCTACCACCGGGTCTCACTACTCTAATAGGATTTGATTTATTAACTCTCCGGGTAAGTGATGTTGAAAATATGTTGATCACGAGTCGATTCCGTTCAAACAACGTTTTATCAACGTTACTTTAACGTCAATCGCCTGTAAGGAAGATTTTTGTTAGCTTGATCACAAATTAGAGACAATTTATATCGTGCAATACACAATACTTGTTTATGTAAAAAATATGACGAAAGCGGATGCCTTTGTTTAGAGAAAAACTTTGACCTCCTTCTGAAAATCTTCATTAGGTATTAATTTGTAATTAATGGGATTTGAGATCCGTATGACGGATAAGATCCCAAGATTTGTGAGATCTGGCGCCAAATCGTAGAAAAAATTCACCTCGTAGGTACGATCTGATCGTTAAACTCAAACACGAGATCAACTATAAGAGATTATAAAGTTCATTTCACAAGAAATTATATTTGAACCACGAAGAGACTAATAGTTGTAAAGTTATAAAGTTATAATGCTAAATGTTATATACCTGAATTGAAGTAAGTTGAACAATTAAGTTAAGGTTGTCGACCGTGTCATCTTAGAGTGTAACTTTCGCTTCTGAAATTCCTGCAATGTTGTCCTAGCTGAGAACTAGAGAAGTTCCTCCCTCTTCCTCTACCGCTATATTAGACCACCGTACACATTAATGTTATCAGTTCGGGGACAGGATAGGAATTTTAGAGAATTATTTATGAAGTGAGAGGATCGGCTGAAGCGTTATTCTTTTCTGATGTAAAGAATATACCAGCCAGAAGAGTGTGGTGGAGTGGTGCCTGAAAGTGTGTTGTGGAGAGTAAGGGAAATGTACCAACTGAAAGATATATGATCAGATACGTTACTTGTTACTGAACACGCTGACCTCGTCGCAAACATTTTCTTTCAACAAATTCGTATTCACAGTAAAAAAAATTACTGGTAAAGCTGTGACGTCTTATTCGTATTTTCTTCGCGTAAAATTCGTTATGTCATGATTGGAATGGTCTTATAGGTGGAAGTAACGTTCAAATGATTTATGATTAAGACGCTTATCTTCATTAACAATCTATCTGCATTTGTAGGAAACTTAAATGAGCGTTTATACCTTCCCACATTGTTTATTGAACGCTTGGCGTTATTTGTTGATTTCTATTGAACTTCTATCGTAGGCGTAGAATTGTGGGAATTACGAAACCTAAATCAGAACGCGTTCATTTCATAAGAAATTTTACTCATTTTCTTATGACTTAACCACACTTTTTCAACATACTCGTATCATATATTCCGACTTCTAGAACGTATATAACGGATTTAACTGTCAATACATATAGCACAACCAAATAAAAATCCCACAATTTCACATATCACGACTAATATAATGAATTGTACTAATTTTATAACTGCTGTACGTTTTCAATATGTTTTACAGAACTTCATATTTTTACTAAAATCCACGAATTTTCTTCACTTGTGCAACATTCGTCAGGAAATTTTCCAATTTCTAGCACCGCAATCACGATCGTGCGTCGTGGCTCAAACCGCGGCAACCTGACAACTGTAAACGTTTAAGAATGTACATACAATCTAATATTAACCAAACCTGTTAACCTTGTTTCTCTAACAATGGCACTTAAATGTCAAGTTAAATCTTTATTATCTGTGTATATTGCCACCAATTGATACTATTAGTGATACTAATATAAAAACATGTATGTAGAAATATATCATACCGATATATCTTGTGTTTTACTCGCCACTGGCTGGTAGCGGACCAGCAAAGTAGAAATTACACTTGACCATCAATTAAATTTTGGATATTAGCAAGGCAATCAATCAACAAAAAGTTGATATAATCATAACTATATTCAATTCAAAATTGAACATTTCGGTAGTACTTTGCCGATCAGTTATACAGGTATCATTATTGCTGGTATATAGTGTCATCCCCTCGTGGGTGTGAGAGTCATGTCAGAGTTTTGCGGCATGGGGGGGTGGGGAGAAGAGAGGAATTGCGAGGGTGGGGAGAAGGGGGGAATTGGGAGGGTAGGGAGAAGGGGGAAATTGGGAGGGTGAAGAGAAGATGGGTGTTTGGAGGGTATAGGGGGACTGAGTGTGAATGATCCTGCTGGGGAAGGGGGAAGCAGGGAGGATGAGGGTTGTGGGTGGCATCAACACGTGCAGCATCAACACGTGCAGCATCAACACGTGCAGCATCAACACGTGCAGCATCAACACGTGCAGCATCAACACGTGCTGCATCAACATGTGCTGCTTCACAGCGTGTGTTTCCCAAGTGTAACCAAGTATGCATTTGCTGCAGTTAAAATGCAATTAAATAAATTATATGACCTGATTTTAACATAAATTATTCCTATTTAGTAAAAAAAGATACAAAAAAAATCAATTTGAATTAGTAAACATTATTCCTACACTGAGAAATTTTTAGCTAAAGAATCCAATCCATGATACAAAAATAATAATAATAACTTAGTTAAACTCATATTTTCAGTATTAAAACAACAAATTTCCATTTTTTATCCATTGCAAGTTGCATTAGACTCGAAGCACTTACAACATATTAAGCAAAATTATTTGCAAGGAACAAAATGAAGTAAAATTGTGGTACATAATTCATGAAGAAGCCTGTAACTAAATTCAAGATTAGTTTATACCACACAAGTGATGTTCCACATGTTACTTATCAAATTTAACCTATAAAGGCAATATAGAAAACTTTTGTTTTACACAAATTTATGAAGATAATTTCCGAAATTTCTTAGTGGTATAACACAAAGAGTTGGAGATATTTAGTGTAGGTACCTTTTAATACCTATCAAATATATTATTGGCACTGCCCGGAACTGATCTCACCATTCGTTTCTCTAAATCTGTACTCCAAGGAACAATGAAACACATTGAAAATACTCTTATTAGAACCTGTTTCAAAACCTGCACTAGAAACACAAAGCCCTGTTGTCAGGTGGTAACTCAGCATCAATAAAATAGCACATCTTGCCATCACGCTTCACTCTAACCCAAGTCTACTGAGGAANTGTTCTTTTTAAACCATGTTTCACTGTATGATGAATTTTGAGGCCAATTTCTCCTGGTGCAACATAATAACACAATTTGCAGTCTAACCCATTCTCAGTTCTTTTTTGTTCAGGCAACAAGTGTGATTTGAGAGGCTTCATTTTTCCAGGAACATTTAAAGAAAGCCCCCTAGCTGATCTTATTTTTTCCTCTTCATCTCCTTCTTCATTTTTTTCAGAATCCTCATCATATTGATCATCACTATCATGATTCGTTGTGGTTGCTGTTCTGTGATCACGCAATTTGCATTGGAATCTTTTCTTCAATTCATGTTTAGAAAAATGGTGCCTTTTGAGACAGGTTTTTGTAGGGGCTTCATAATGACACAACTCACATTGAAATCCTCTCCCAATGCCATGTTTAGAAAACTCATGTTGTTTAAGAAGTGTTCTGGTAGTAGTTATGTAATTACACAACTCACACGGAAATGCTCTATTTAAACCATGTTTCACTGTAAGATGAACTTTGAGGCCAAATTCTCCTGGTGCAACATAATCACACAACTTGCAGTCTAACCCATTCTCAGTTCTTTTTTGTTCAGGCAACAAGCGTGATTTGATATGCTTCATTTTTCCAGGAACATTTAAAGAAAGCCCTCTAGCTAATCTTATTTTTTTCTCTTCATCTCCTTTTTCCTTTTTTTCTGAATCCTCATCATCTTGATCATCACTAACATCAATCATATGGCTATGCCTATTTCCCTGTAGGTCTTTCTTCTCAGTAAGCTTGACCTGAAGGAGGTCTGATCCATCCATCACTGGAGATGATCTTGCCTCAATATCAGCCTTTAGCTCATCTTTCTTCACAACCTCAATCGGTCCTTTCAGGTCAGCATTGATCTGAACTTTGTGCTGGGCAACCTCCTGGAAAATGAATTCAGATGCATTTTGAAATTCATAAAAAGGAAGTTACAAATTTCCTCATTTTCAATCAGTGACAGTTGTAAAACCAGTCAATCACTCATAGATAAACCTAAATTCAGCTGAAAAATATATAAAAGATGGTTCTTAGTCTCAAGACTCTTGCTGAGAAAATTTCGAATTTGGTATTAGAATCAGTGAATTTTTACTTGACTGAAAATTCATCATAAGCAGAACTCTACTTAGTAAAATTCCAAACACAGAATGGGTAGAGACTTTCATTTGGGAGAAGCAAAACATTAGGAATATAAGGCTAGCTTAGTCAATAATAGTGGATCTACATTAAACCAGAGGCAGTGCATGGTCCAGCAGGGTCATGACTGAGGCAGTGCATGGTCCAGCAGGGTCATGACTGAGGCAGTGCATGGTCCAGCAGGGTCATGACTTAGGAAGTCATGTGAGTTGGTAATAACCTTGGGGGTTCTGCTTGTCAAAATACATACTTGTATAGCAATCAAGACATAGTTAATAGAGTATGTATTTATGTAAAACAAGTTTATCAAAATGGGTATTTCTGCCTTCAAAACGCAAAGATGTCTCCAGAATCATTTCAACATTGGCTGTCAGGATCATGTTCTGAAGTTTGACACGGGTGAATCACAAGAAAAATGCTAAAACATCCAAAATCATCCGTGTTTTCATGACTCAATGACACACTTTAGTATAAGTGTAATACACAAAAGCTCAACTGACACTATTTCTATCAAGGTGACATCTCCTGATGAGCAGCTACCCAAACTCTAGACCCTCAAATTTTATTCCTATTATTTGGTGCAGCTCAAATCATCCATACTTTCCTGCATGATCCTGACCTGTGAAAGCTTTTGTTGAGGAAAATATTTTTATGGGCCAGAATGTTAATCCAGAACTTTGGAGATGCATTGTAACCCTTTCCCGGGCAGACATAGAAATAGGCATTAATTCTTATTTCCAAGCCCAGTTCTATAAAATATGGGCAATCCTAAGATATATTTGCTATTGACCTTTCTTTTGTTTTTGTATAGTATGCCAGCTTTTGATAGAAATCATTATCAATGAAATGATCATATCCAGGTTTTTGCCATTATAAGGATAAAAATTCAGTGATTGAAAAACAAATGTTTTTTATTTAGAAGGAAACATGAGCATGAGCAAAGCTTTTTGAGTTTTGTCTCAATTTCAGGCTTGTGTAATAACAGGTTGCTACTCACTAGAATTTGAAACAAGAACCAACACCAGGGGCCATGGCTATAAACTAAAAATACTGCATTGTAACACATCCATGCAAGAACATTTCTTCTTGCCTCAAGTCACCAACATGTGGAACAGCCTCCCTGATGGCATCATCGAGACTCCGACTATGAATGCCTTCATGAACAGACTAGAGTCACTAGACAAAGCTATGCTGGAACATATGTTCAGACTTGAACTGACTAGCACCTTACAGACCAGGCAATAAGTCCAGCAGCTATCTCAATCAATCGTCAGTTATGGAAAGATCTGGTTCAGAAGGCCGGATCCCTTGTGAATCGAGTAACAAAAAGTACAAGAATTGGCAGCAGGCCATGGGCCTATTTCTTCAGTGCCAACATTTCTATTCTATTCTGCCATTTCATGGTAATCACGGAAACAGTTCCGCTCTGCATTGAGGCAAAGGTGGACTTTGCACACTTCACAAACAATGTTTGATCGAATGATATGTCCTGGTCGGCTGCAGTTCTTGCATGTTTGACGATTCATGAAGTGAGGAAAGTGTTTCAGTGTGGTATCAAACCTATCTGATTTGTTAGGAACTTGGCTTCGATAGTAATGCAAAGGTCCAGGCTATAGGCAAAAAGTCTCATGTACCACCTGTACGACCTCAGTGGAGTGCGGTAGAGGTGAAGCAGCATGTCACTCTTGTCAATTCCCGCCATATTCGCATTGTAGGACTTGATGACATTTGGACATTGCAATTGTTCTTTGTGCTTTGTTTCTTTGTAGTAGCGAGAGCAAGTTGTAACTGGGTAAACCCCTAGGTCATTTGATAACATTGTGACCGCCTTGTTGTCCTTCCAACGAAGAGCCAAGATTCCATCATCTGTAGAAGCATAGTCAAAATGACCTTGGGGAATGCTCTTCTTTTCGAAGTCCTTTGTAGACTTGAGTGGTGGGTTTCCAATTCTATTTTCCCTTGCAGTCCCCGTGTACCTACACCCATGGGTGTTTTTCAGGTAGCGCGCAATCTGCAGACTTGTGAAAAAGTTATCTGCGAATATTGCCGACTGAGAACATGTCATTGTTTGTGCAAGGACTGAGACAATCTTGCTTGTGTTACTGAGGGCTTCTTGCTCTGGCGTTAGGGTGACGCCATGACCTTGTAGCGTAGTCAAGCCTTGGTAGAGAACCATATCATGAACAAACCCATCAGCCGACGCTCGCGAGAACAGCTTGAATCCCCACTTGTCAGGCTTGTTCTGTATGTACTGGCGCAGATTTCCAGCTGTCTTCCCTTTGAAACCGACCATCACCACATCAATCGACTGCTTAGGTGTTTGTGGTTCACACCGGAAGGCTTGACAGATGAAGTTGAAGATGGGTCTTATTTTGTAGAAACGGTCAACGGAGGCAGAGATCTGACTGTTGTCATTGAAATGTATTAGTCGGTGCAGAAGTCTGAAGCGTTTGGAAGGCATTAGTTCTGCGACTTGAGGTACCCTGGTCTTCATTGCCCAATAATCATCGAGTGAGGGGAGCTGCACAACTCCCATGTACAGAAGTATGGCAATAAAGGTGCGGATCTCCTCATCAGTTGTTACGAAGGTGGTAGAAACATCCTTTTGCTTTGCATAAAGGTTTGTTTGATATACAATGTGTTGAATAAGCTGTGGACTGAAGAATTTTTCAAAGTAATAGTCTGAATTTTTTACGTACTGAGGTGGTGTGTGTTGATATTCCGGCAGTGGTGGGTTGCTGATGTCAATTTTGCTCCATGTAGTAGGCCTTGACTGCCTGTCATTTTCATTTAAATTGCCCCATTTCTTCTTTGTCTGACCTATGTTGGTGGTGTTCCTTTCCTCCTGTGGTGTTGCATGACCCACGTCCTCTTCATCATCTTCTTCCTCGTGTACCTCTTCCAAGACTGGCCTTCTGCATCGGCGCTTACTGGTAGGGGGTTGTCCTTCCGTGGTATCAGAAGAATCCTCATTATGCTGGTCAGGGACAGGCACATAGTTCGGGTCAGAGATGTCATCATCCAGCGAATCGTCATCGCTGATGCTAGGGTCCAGAGGCACCACACATGTGTGGGTCTGGTTCTTTTGGTAGAATCTTGCAGTTGAGAACTGAAAATAACAAAGATATTTAGCAAAGTCTACCATGAAGCAAATTCTTTGGATGCTTGTCATTTCACCATGCAACTTTAAACTAAAAACAACTTGATCATAGGTCCCCTATTCATCTCAATGATTTTACAATTTTTGTTCACAATTCGTGAACAATATTGGGAATGTTAATTGAATGCACAATTTCTTGATAAGATTTTTACCTAGAATCTTGCAATCCTATTTCAATAACATAAAGGGTAAATTCATTGCAAGATCATTATAAATACATCTATAAAAGAATAGAGATCTCAACAATATTCACAAGGATGAGCATAGTACAGAATCTATATCACAAAGCACAAAAAAAATTCACTTAGATTCAGCAGGCATATTAAGTCCAGGCACAGTCACTTGAACAATTTTCCAACTTTAAACATTAAAGGGGGCATGTACACATATGATCACTTTGCCATTGTACACCATATTTGAGTGCTGCCAGGCACATGACCATACATAGTCACACTGTTTCTTACAGTCTAATTTAACCAACTTGCCTTCATTTAAAGCAAACGAAATTATTACCCCTCGATTAAGCAAGTTTTAAACTATGATACAACTGCTTATCATGAACTTACCAACATTAATTAGTGAGATATCACTAGTTGAGTGAAGGCTGGTGGAGCACAAACTGCACAATAGGTCATATCTTGGTGGTGACTAATTTTCAAATGAGCTCACACTTGTGCAACAGCACAGCAGAGGGCAACACCATCCATGATGCCACTTGTGCAAGATCTGTGATTGGCTGGAACACATTGGCAAGCTCCAAAACTCATTGGGGGAGTTGTGGGGGGCCATTTTTTGACCCCCATTTTAGTTACCATAATATGGTAACTTACCTGCAAAAGTGTTAATGGTTGAAAAGATTTAAATTCCAAATATTTGTACACTAAGCATCACTGACCTCTTCCTCGAACCGAGCATCAGCAAGGTGGGCTTCCTCCTTGCACAGCAACCAAGTTGAGGGAAGTGGAGTCGCCTGGTTGCCACAACCAGGCATAGGCAGAGATGTTAGTTGGTAATAATTTATTTAGATTCATCAACTAAACTGAAATTAAACTCAATTTTTATTGGTATAAATATAATATAATTACCGTAAAATAGGTTACTTTGACCGGCGGGGTAACTTTGACCACTTTCTGTTTTTTTAACAAAAAACCCCAAAACTCAAAAACGATTTGACATAGAAAAATTTTGTCAATGGNATTGTAGTAGAACTCTTCTAGTTACATATGCAAAAGACAAACTTGAGGAAAGTGTCATAGTTTGCAAATGGGGGGCGCCACCCCCAATGGGGGAACTTTGACCACCTGATGGCAGCCGTGACAGGGTAACATTGACCGGCTTGGAAATGAATTTAAAATTACCATAGGTACCTATATAACATATTTTATGTTTGATACACCTATTAATGTTTTTATCTTTATGTTTCAGACTCTACAGAGTCTTATATATGGTAATTTTAACTTAATTTCCAAACCGGTCTATGTTACCCCGTCACGGCTGCCATTAGGTGGTCACATTTCGCATATTGGGCGGCGCCCCCCATTTGCAAACTATGACACTTTCCTAAAATCTGTCTTTTGCATTTGTAACTAGAAGAGTTCTACTACAATGCACCACAACCTGGAGTTATTTTATCAAAAAATAAAATTGATTTTACTACCCGGTCAAAGAAACCCCAAGAGCAGGGGTAACAAAGACCATCACTTCTTTTGAAATTACATCAAAACTATGAGAGGCAGGAGCCAGCAATTTATGGTGAGTAAAGCTAGAGTATAGACCTGTATTTTGCATGTTTCAATTTAAGTTTAACTTATCTAGTAAAAAAATGGCATCGTTTTGAAAAAAAAAGTGGTCAAAGTTACCTCATTTTACAGTACCTATATAAGAAATAATAATATTTATAATATAATTAGAATAAGAAAAAATTAGAAAGCAAACATTTTAGAAGCAAAATATAAGAAAATGGACAGAGAGAAGTTTTACAGTAATTTCATGCTTAAACAAATTTCAGTAATTTCTTTGTCACAAAAAATGTACAAGATATTATGCATCACACATTATGTCAGAGAATATTAAAAGGCTAATTGAAATCAAATGGAGTTAAATACTAGTTTTAATTTATTTTATTTATGAATATAGAAATTGATTCATTCAAACTAATTTAAGGGGGCCAGCTTGGCTCTAGAAAAACTTCTATATTTATCTACCAATCTTTCTGAAATTTCACCCACATACATGAAACATAAAAATAAAAATACTTTTCTTATATGAATTCTTTGGAAAAATGAGACAAAACATGAAATTTATAGAAAACGCAAAAAGGGGGTGCATTAAAAATGTTATAACTTTAGCAATTCATGTGCCACAATATTGAGACACAGTTCATTTGATTTATAACATAATTGTCTAGAAGCTCATAAACTTTGATTTTTCATTTTCTTCCTCATTTTTTCTTAAGTGCATTTTTCCATTTTTCCGCATCTTTCCCTCCCATGTATAAGTCAAGCCATGCACAAATAAAAAAAAATATAACTCAGTACTCACTGCAGTGAGTGACAGAGAGTGCATTTTCTCGTCGACAAAAACTTGAGGTCATGGACGGACGGATGGACAGACAGACAGACAGACATGGCAGGCACAAATGCACAATAGTGCATTTTTTCCATAAATGAGAAAATGCACTAAAAAGGCTTCTAGAGTTGCTAGGTATGGTCTTTACAAACCAAATGATAGGTTTTACAATGCTGTAACTTGAATACCATAGGAATGATAACACTTTCAAAGAGGAAAAAAAATGAAAAATCAAAATTTTCAGGGAACCTGACAAACTGAAAAAGTGTAAAGAAAGAGATTACAATCATCAAATCAACCTTATGAAGGAACTAACATGCATAGACATGTGGCTCACACCATTGGATGCATGAGATTTAGACCTTTAAATTGATGCCATTCATTGGCAAGGCAGGATAATTGTCATCTCAAAATTAGCAAGAACGATTAGTCAATTACATGTATGCATAATGGATTTTCAACCAATTGTCTTGTACTAAATCAACCTATTGAACAAACTAAAACACACACAGACCTGCTGATAACACAATCAGATGCACCAGATTCAAAACAAAAATCAAAAAACTCAAAATTTTCTATTTTTCACCAAGCCAGTCCCCTTAAGATGATCCAGATATGAAGTTATACCTCATCTTCCTCTGTGTAAATTTGTTCTTTCTTCACATCGATTTCTTCTCCCTCCAGTTTTGGCTCTTCTTTGATGTAAACAGCCAACACATTTGGCAGTTGAGATGAACCACTGACATCCATGACTGGAATATATACATTATCACTTCACATGAATAATGCCAATAAAACACTAGAATTGCAATGAGAAATAGGTTCTGTAAGCTTGGTTGTCACAATGAATTCCAGGTGCAAAATAGGTACTGAAAGTTGGAGGTTCCAACTGAATTTATTTGCATTTGAAAACAATCAATATGCTCATAAATAGTGTGCTCATTTATGCTCACTTTTTACGTTTTTAAATTCTTCAAGATCAAGTCAAACAAACTTCATCATTCCAGATAAACAGGCTTCATCACATGCTTCTATTGGTAAAAAGTTCAGCAATAAATGTGCAGCTCACCTTCTGACTCCAGTTTGATATCCTGAGCCATGACTTAGAAGAGGCTTTTTACAAAGCACCAGCCAACCCAGCAGGCTGCAGTATCACAAACTGATGTAGAGCAATGCTTAGACAATTAAGGCACAATATTCCTGCAGATGTGACTAACTAAAGTGACTAAATTGAGAAGGAGATCTGAGGCTAATACAGAAGTTGCATCTCACAATCAAGAGTAAAGTTTATAGTCATTGAAATTTAAAATAAGAATTTGTGATTCCAATACCTGCACAGATCAAATATCTCTTCATTTGATGAGCTAACATATTTAATCTCATTGGTAATTACCGTTTTAAAGATATTTAAACAAAAAACTATACTTCTTATGATGCAATAGAATTACCTGAAATGGAAGCAACTGAAATTCACTTATCATGTTTGATTATGACCAAAAAATGACAGCTATTCATATTTATCAAGCAATTTCTTATTCAGTAGCATAACTAAGATACCTAGCCATGATAAAATTTACACTTCCCATATGAGAAATCAATATCAATTCTTTAATGGAATTTCATCTCCCTCATTTCTGAGTGTCTGACACTCAGTGTCTGACACAATAGGTATTGTGATATGGGCTCAAACAAGTCATTACCTTTTACAATGCCAGGCAACAAAAAGCAAATTTTCACATACGTAGCCCTCGCAAAGAGCTATAAAATGAGCCTAAACTTGTTTATGAAATGTTTCATGGTAAAAAGTTATTAAGGAAAAACGCTCAAAACTGTACGTTATTACCCCCATTTGATGGTATATATGGGCAGTGATCAAAGTGGCATTCCACAGTTGATTTATATGGTCAGGTAGGTACCGTCATACGGGGTAATAAGGGATGAGCAGGGTAAATCGGGACAGTCGGCCCACATTTCATAGAAATGTTGTAGGCTTGTAGCAGCTTAACTAATCAATGTGTTGCAAAACTAAAAATAGTGGCGTAAAGTTCAACATTTTTACTATCTATGCAGTTAAGAAATCATACATTGATGTCATAGTTGCAAGTTAAGAAATCATACATTTACTACCTCTAGAAAATCCCTGAAAAAAGTGTGAAAAGTAAGAATTTGGAAAAGTACCTCTAAGGTAAATCCAGGGTGCAGAGTTTGCAAGCAGCGTTGCCTTGACATGAATTTAAGCCAAAAACGCTGCCAGCCATTTTCAAGATGTGTCGCTGGTAATTTTTAATATGAAAGTGCTACAAGAAACTTTGATGGTATATCCCTTACTCTCCACCAGACTCCATGCACTGCAACACTTACACTCATCACAACTGATTTCAGGAAAAGCTTCACTGCATCCTGATCCATCCAATGTACCAGAAACCTTACTGTGTGCACTTGCAACCTTTCAGATTTGCAATAATTGTAATAATTTCAAAGTAATTTCTAAAATGCAATAATTTCAATGCAAATGTGTCAACAAGATCTGAAGGCGTATATTTTGCTGCTGATGCATTGCCAAAGATCTTTCAATATTCACCCAAGTTTTGCACCCTGGAGGTGCGTAGCAAAAAAAAATTCACCACATTAAAAATTTTTATGTACGTAAAAGTTGCACACAGGTTTTGACTTAATAACATAATTGATGGAATATGCTTATCTCATTAAAAAAGAAAATGGTTGCCATTTCCGCAAGATGGGATAATAAGGGACACCTCCCGGCGCCCATGCCAGGGGTAACACAGGACACCCCCAAGAATGCATTTACAGTAGAACCTTGGTTAGCAAAAGCTCCAGTTAAAAAATCAATTAATAATAAAAATTTTGATTACCGTCAACCGGGGCTACTCGGGACGATTTTGAACGTTTTTCATTCATAACTTCTTACCATGAAACATTTCATAAACAAGTTTAGGCTCATTTCAAAGCTCTTTGCAAGGGCTATCACATGGCTTCTCCAAAAAAATCCATATGCTATTCATAAGTTGCCAGAAGCAAAAAAAGAGTGTCCCGAGTAGCCCCGTCGAATGGGGCTACTCGGGACACTTGGAATAAAACTTCATTTTAAAACATTTGAAGCATGCAGAGTGTACTCATCCATTACTAACAGTACTCTGAAGTCCTCCTCTTTCATTGTAGATAGTGTAGAGGTAGAATCAATGACATTTTCTATGATTTTTACATGTTTTTCCTATATTGTTATGATATTACCATATACATTAATTCCCGTATTATTGATGCGATATTACCGTATCCATGAACAATACATTTACCTTGCTCAGCAAAAAAAATCCATTAATGAAAAGTTAATGCATTGTTGGTCATCCCAAAATTGTGCATATAATGTCATATGGTAGTAAAATATTAAAAATTGGCTCATAGGAAACCTAGAAATGACAGTTTTTCCAAAAAAGTGCCAAATTTGGTTCATTTTAAGACATATTTTAAAAAAGGAAAAAATTTGTAGTTTTTTCTATGTTTATTTGTATTCCACTTATATTTATATGGCATTTTTCTAAATATTTTTCTTTCCAGCTGCATAATTTTCATTGAGATCATAGAAAATTTTTTTGTGCACCTACTGCCAGTGCCACCTAGGTCACTGTGTTCCATTGACTGTTGAGTGTTGACATACCTACCAGCATAGTGACAAACCAGATTTTTTTTTAGAATCAGTTCATTTTTAATTTCCTCTCTTACTCAAGATTCAAACCCATTTCTTATGTATGATAGTGCTGGTATGATGGTATCCAGGATACTTTACTGGTCTACTTATAGGACTCAAAAATGAACTGGAGGGAGAGTGTAAAAAACTCTCTGCTTTGCCACTAAGCCTACCAGTAGTCCACTATGACAACTTGTAGGCCCCATAGTATGGGCCATAGACCATAGTCATAGCAAATAGCCTCACACGGTCACACTTATAGGTCTATGGCTGTGACAGTGGCAGGCAAACAAAAGCTCTTTCAGAAAAGAGTTAATTTTAATTCCCCTATCTAGTAGTTGTAGGCTAGGCCTACCTAGTTGTAGATTTCAAAATTTAATTTTGATTGCAGAGCCAGTTAAAATGACAACCAGGATCCAGTTAAACCAGTGATTCCCAAACTTTTTCAGGCTGGCACCCCCCTTGGCTCCCCAGTGAATCTCTAGCACCCCCCTGCTGACAGAAACATATAAGAACAAACGCCTCTTTCTTGATATTTAGTACGTACGCTGCAATTTTGAAATAGAAAAGTTAAACACAGATTTTTCCAGAGGCCCCCACAGATCTTTCAGGCGCCTCCAGGGGGGAGATATTGCCCACTTTGGGAACCACTGAGTTAAGGGGACCGTCTACCCCTAAATTTTCAATTTTGGTGTTTTCCGGTTTTCGTGCTCATCTTAAAGCTTACTTTCTGACGCATTGAACGGTACCAGAATCATCTCTCTACGTCGAAAAATGATTTCGTGACAGCTCCCTAAGGGGGGGGCAGTTTTGAGGGCCCTTCAGTAAAGTCTATGGTATTGTAATGGGTCGTCTTTATTGGTTAAGTGAGGGAAGGTAATGCCGCGCGGCAGTTTCTTGGGCGTGGTGTAAACCTCCTATTGCTCTCACGGCAAACCTATCTCCTCCTACAGTTTTCAAGCTACAGCAATGAGACATATACCATTCGATTCTTAAAAACCATACCTATCGACTCTAAGATCATTTTTTGGAATTTGTTATGGTTCGTCTTATATATAGGGGAGAAGGGGGGGGAGGGGGAAAAATGAGAAAAATGGGAAAAATGTGCAAAAAAAAACTATGGGGAAAATGAGAATAGCGATCTTAGAGTCGATAGGTATGGTCTTTACAAATCAAATGATACGTGTCTCGATGTTGTAGGATGATATTTGTAGGAGGAGATAGATTTTCTAAAGTACCCGTTTTTAGCATTTACTATGAATTTCTCGTTTTCTATCAATTTTGTCAAAAAATTCAAATGAGCAAAATGTTACTTTTTTACATTTTACGTGTGTATGTGAAGTTTCACGATGATCGGATAATAACTATAGAAGTTTTTACGGAGGGAGGGTAGACGGTCCCCTTAAACTGACTGCATTCATGTATTGCATGCTTGCATTTGTCTCATTCTTTGCAATTTTCTAATGTGGGAGTTGGGACACCACTAGTCTGAAAAAGTCCTATTTTTGTCTGAAATATCATGGCTCTAATATCATATAATTTCAGAGGTATGAAATCTTGTGGCTCGAATGTCATAAATTTTTGTTTGATTAAAAAATCGCAGTTTGCACTTCGCAAACCTGAAAAATGTCATTTCATAAAATTTTCAACTTCCGCAATCCGCATTGCTTTACCGTTCCCACCAAAAATATCTTGCAGAAAAAACATAAACATCGTAAAGTAAACAAATCAACTAAACGTTTTGTTGAAGATCATGCATAGTTGCGGTCATGTCAAAGCGGTCAGACTGCATTAACACGTGCTCAACTTACAGTTGAGACAAATTTTATTGTTGCCGTTTGACTGTTTAAGGGTAAAATTAGAGATTTGGGGTAACATGTGCATGGACTTTGTAAATAAATTCGCACCTCGTAAATGGCTTTTCATGGCCAAGATATGGAATTCACGTCTCGGTGAAATGAAATCCTGCTCATAGAAATGGAATCACGGCTGGCAAATCCATAAAACCACGGCTCGAAAAATTTAGTCGCGGCTTGCCAAGTAGAATATTCTATGCCTGGGACACCAGCATTTATTTTTTTCCTTCATTGGCTAATGGCTTTTGAGAAGTATGGCGGCAATGCGGCATGGCCCACCGAATGCAGGAGCAAATATCTCAGGTCTCAGGACCTAGAGTAGGTACTATAATGATAGTCTCTCAGGACCCTCACTAAATGCTTTACCGCAGCATGGCTCAGGCCTCAGACCACTCTTAGTCTCTTACCAGCGCTCAAATTATACGACCCAGGCTCCAGCTTACAAGTTACTACACTAGGTACATAGTACGTACTACGACTACGGCCAAATGGCAAATACCAAATACCAATCAAGTTATCAACTGCCAGCAAAGCCTTCCTGACTGCAGAGGAGTTTTTTAAAATTTGATTTGAAGTCTTTGAAGGGTACCGTGGTATGCTGCGTGCTGCCGAGGGCCAACTGCTGAGGAGTTGCATAAAATATGCCTTTTCCCTAACAGGCTAACACCGATTTGGATTTGGGGTGTGCCGGCGTGGTGAATCTGAGAGAAATTAAATCCATTATATTATATCAAAAACAAAACATTATATCTTCTTTACAAAATTCTTCCTTGGTATGTACAAAAGGAGCTCTCCAGTTGGGAGCGCAGCCGTGCACCACCAATTTTGTGCACCAATAAGCCCTGAATCGAACGCCTTGGATCTCTACGG